ATGAACCCTAATCATTTTGGCCTTTTGAATTCATGACACGTGCAACAAATAACGAGTGCATGTTCTTTTTTCGTAACTTCGATGACCTGCGATTAATGATTAAGTTTATTTTTTTCGATAATTCTCAATCTTATACAATTCATAATTGTTTGAAATTGATATATTTTTTTAAAATTGATTCTACTTAGCCTAAAATTGATTATGATTAATTTAATTGCTTATATGTGGAAATATATTTTCGATCACATTATTGATAACGTTATCATACAATCCTTTCAAAATCTGAAAAATTGTCGGGGTCAACTGTACAATAATGTAATTAGCCTCAATTTTTTGCAAAAGATTGTAATTAGGTTTTTTTTTTATGAGTAGTATTTTCATAGACTACGTATATTAGCGTTTGATCATTTTGTGTTTAATGAGTCTTTAAAATATGCAAATTGATTGGAGAAAAAAATTAAATATTGTAGGTTAAGTGTGCCCACCCTAAAACAAATTTCTGACTCCGCCCCTGACCGTTCTCATGCAGTTTGAAAAAATAATTTCCTAAAAGTGGGAATTTTTAACTTATTTCTTAAATTCATACAATTTTTAAAACATCATTACAGACACTTTTAAATAATGTTTTAAGTTTAAAAGTGTCAACTTGACTAACACCTTTAAATGAATATTGTGTTAAAAGAGCAGGACTAAAATCACACACAAAATATTAATTCAACTGACATTTTTAAATAACATTTTGGGTTTTTAGAACACTCAAGTCTGACTGACATTTTTTGAATGACTAACGTTTTTAAAGACTATCTAAGTTTAGGAATTAGTTTCAAAACCATCCCATTTCAAAATGAGAAATTCTATTGATACTTAAAAATTTGACATAATGTTATGACTTTATTGTAACCGTTGGATTAATACTAGTTCTAATTTTCGATGAAGTTTATTGTCAATCCAATGAATATAGTGAATTATGTCTAAATAACATTACTCTGTGAGAATATGCTTCACTGATTTATTTTGCTCCCTTAAATTTTAAAAGTAATATCAATTGGCAGTTCATGACAAGTGTCATTTATAGTTTATTCATGGAATTATAAAATATGGGTTAAACACATGTAGGACTCAACTTGGCTTAATTCAAACCAGAAAGCTGAATGTTGAAGACAAATAATTGTATTGACCTTATGATTGTGGGCTTTACTCCTTTATTCTACAGATTGTTTTTATAATTATACGAATCTATACGAAAACAAATCATATTATATTTATATGTAAATCCAAATTCTAGTAGAACGAACGAAGATGTGATTGTGGCTCACGAGAGCGACGTCAAGTGGCTTGGCCACTTTGAACATGTGAAAAATTGCATTGTCTCTAGTCCCTACTAGTTTTTATCATCATCAATGAACGTCTGTCATGATTTGTTTTTGTTGGCATTAAAAAACACAAGCTATTGTCTCCTACGGTGTGGGTGAAACTTGGACGAAGTAACTCAAACTCAATTCGAAAAAAAGTAATAATAAAAATTGGAATTAATTATAACAAGACAATCTATTTTCTCAATAGATCCAAGCGCGAATTTATTAGGCCATTAATGACACATATGAGTCCTCTTTTTTTTTTAAATTCCTATTTTGACCCTCAACTGATAAGGAATACTTTCATGGTATAAATACGTGATTGTTTCATTTAAAATATTTATTTTCTCTCTCCTCTCTCTTCTATCTCATTATCTCTCTCGCACACACACTATATACACACAAGACTATACTAACAGTACCAACTGAGTGACAGTTCAACATATTGACAGTAATAGTGACGACAGAATGACATAATCATATTGACACAATGACACGTCCACATTGGCACAACAACGATGGTTGTTGTTGTCACAATAGAACATATTTTATAGGTAATTTTGGAGTGTGGTCCACAATTGCAACTCTCACTCACACATCAACATTTTATACGTAGCAATCTCTTCCTAGAGTGTATATTGACATCTATATATACACATAACAACATTGTAAGAGATAGAGAACGTAAGACGTAAGGGGGAGAGAGATTTTTTAGAATCTAGGTGACATATTTTAGGATCTATGAGCATGAGATTTTATGTGAGAGAAAGAACTGCTTGTGAGATAAAAATTTATGTGAAGAGAGTGTTATTTGTTGGAGAGGGAACGTAAGAGTAAGACATGAGGGAGAGAGAGATTTTGTAGAATCTGCATTAGATGTTTTATTATCCGTGAGAGAGAGATTTAAAATGAGAGAGAAATTGCATGAGAATTTTTAGGACATAGATGAAGATTTTTAGGATTTGTATTTATTTGAGGGTATTTATTGTCTTTTCTCATTTACTTGTCCTTAATGACCCAAAAGGTGCGCACATGGACTAATTGACCAAATATATTACTACATAGGATTGGCCTCCAAAAATCCCAAAAAAAAACTTGAGTTGAATTTTTTAAAAGGATCCTTTTGAGGCCGGTATACCAAAACGTACTTATTTGTCAAAAAGTCCTATGCAAAAAACATTATGTTTTTAAGTACATCTTAGACGGAAAATATAAGTTTTGTCTTTATATTAAAAATAAAGAATAAAGAAATCTTCAAAAATGCAAGGAGTTTAAATAACTCAACTGCCACCATATCTCCGTTAAACACAGAATGAAAATGCAAGATTGAAGGAATAAAAAATTGATCGCAAAAAATCCTCCACAAATCTTATTTTACCTACTCATTTTGTTGTTCAAGCACAAAAAAATGGGAATTGAAGAAACGCGTGTTTCCAACTTTTGAAAAAAAGATTGAAGCGAACAAAGGAAGAAAGGGCATCATAGTGTGATGACCTAGTGTGGAATAATAAAGTGACATCATAGTGTGACGATCCAGTGTGACATCCTTGCCATATGGCTTGGATACAATAATTAACCACACACGTTCCCTTGGGTTTAGTAAAGTGACATGATAGTGTAATAACCTAGTGTAACATCCTTGACATAAGGCATGGACACTACAATTAAACACACACATTCACTTGGTTTTAATAAAAATAGCATTATAGTGTGATGACTCAGTGTGACATCTTTGACATAACGCTTGAATACTACAATTAAACACACACATTCCCTTGATTTTAATAAAGTGGCATCATAGTGTGACGATCCCTAATGGATGAAAACTAATGCCCAATAATGTTTTTATAGAAAAAAATTATTGAAAATTTGAGTATGTGATTAAAAAATAATTAAGCTTGTTAATAAAAAAACAAAAATGAAATCAAAACTTCATACCTGATATGATGCTCCTCTATTTGAGAAATTTGAACGTAAAATCTGTTTAATACGGTCGTATTTCGGTGACTAATTTTTGGATAATTTGAATTCCGACTGGTAGTTTTGAGAAATTCGAAAAAGATAAATTTTGGTGAAGATTGAATTCATCAATGGCTGAAAGTAGATAGAAATGTAAATTTCGACAGCTAGTTTTGAGAAATTCAAAGAAGACGAATTTCAATGAAGATGAATTCATCAGTGGCTCAAAGTAGATAGAAAAAATGTTGGTTATCCTATTTAAAATTCAAACGTTCCATTCCACTAATTTAGAAAACCATCAATAAACTGAAACATATCCAAAAAATAAAGAACTGTCAAATCAAAAATTGTAAAATAAAATAAGGGCAATTACGTAGAAGATAAATAGTAAAAATAGTAAATGTATACTTGGTTACAAAACATTTATGATAATTAGAACTGAACGACTTAAAAGTCTAAGCACTGTACTTTTTCACAAAGAAGTAGAATATGATATACCTCTTGACAATTTCCCCCTTTTCAAATCTTGGTTTGGGTCTCTGGTAAAAAACTTCAACTCGAATTAAATTTAGATCATATTCGGGTGAAACTTAGGTTTATGGTTCAACCTAAACTAGGCCCGAATTACTAAAATTATGCTCAACCTGAATATAAAATGGGTTCAACCCAAAATAAAAATATATATACGCATAAATACACAAATTTTAAGTATATTTTAGGGCTTTATTGAATTTATTTTAAATCTAGGTTAGTCAAACTATTATGTAATTCCTAAAATTAAATATGCAATCAATTTAGGCAGTACTTGGGTTGAAAGCCCGGCTCAAGTTAGGTAAGAATTGAAAATTTTACAACTTAAGTTGAATTTGAATTGATCCTCTAATCAGCTCAACTCACCCGAGTTGCACCCCTAAGCAGGGGAGGGGGACTAAGCCTCTCTAAATGGAACAACCCGGTCTATTAGCCCCAAAGCTCACCCGACTTTGGTCGGGCTATTTTGGCAACTTCCCTGGGCATGCCATGGGTTCGACTCGTGTCCCGTTAGCCTATCTTGACCCGGCCTAGGAAGTTTTCCCGTCAGACAACAGTTTGCAAATTTGAAGGGTGGCAACCCCACGGTTGGGCTTAAGATTTTTCAAAGAATACTTGGCTTAAATCCAGACATTATTCTTGTAAAAAAAATTAATAGTAAGAGTTGCAATACTGCACATGCCGAAGTGATGAGCACTGAGGTTTCAGCCTGGTTTTACAATTTGGATTGTCATCTTCATCCATGTACAGAGGATTTATAACACGTGCATGCAATATTGAGAACCCGCGTAAGAAATTTTTTTCCCTTTTTGTGATTATTATTTTGTCAATTAAACAGAAATAAGATGAAATTGGAAATACTTTTTCTCCTATTTCATTATTATTATTACAAAGGCAGGATTAGACACTATTAACACAAAAAACAAATTCATTATTTTGACAAACATGGATTAAAGATTTTTATTCAAGCACGGAATCGACAGGAAGTGAGGTAACATAGGCTTTAAAGTTGGTTTTGGAATTTGTATATCCATCTTCATTCTTGTAGAGAAGATCTAAGATGCGCGCAAGATTGAGGACTTGTGTAAGAAAAGGCATTGGAACAATGGTTGGATGGAGGCATACTTGGTTTAAATCCTCCCATGAATTTGTAACTTATTTGTCAAACTCAGCATATGCCTCTTGTTTTGAGGCTCCGTGTTGTTGCATGTAACACTCCTGTTTTGAGGCTCCATGTTGTTTCATGTTACACTCCAGAGCTGATGCTACATCTCCTCTCTCTTGCCCATGCTACAAGCATCGAAGAAACCTAAAATTTAGTGAGATGTAAATCAAAAAAAAGACAAAATAATTCATAACGAGATGAATTGTTGTATGGTTGCAACCTAAATCTCACTCACACACATCGATTAATCTCAAGTTTTATACGGTGAGGACGTGCATGTTTTTAAAACAAGATATTTCTACTTCGCTTTCTTACCTCATGTCCTACCATGTCGTCCATGAGTCTACCAATTACAGCTGAAGCTCTAACAATCAAAGGTTCACTAGAAACCCCATCAAAGGCCTCCTTGGTACCAATTTTCCCATGCCAACAAAGGAAGTGGTGGAAAGTATCATGTAACCACTGGAACTAGATTGACTTTCACTTACCCCTTCATTGTTGGAGTATAGCCCTCATTAAACCACTTGGCCTCTTGAAAGCTTACTCTGATTAATTTTTTTCATCTTAAACATGGAAAAAAAGAAAAAATATATTCCTACTTTATCCATCCGTCTAAAGATAGTTTTTTTCCTCGTAAACTAAGTAATAACTGGAAAGTATAAGAGTTCTTACTACTTCTTTACCTTAGTTGATGGAATACGTTTTGCCTTCTTTGACCGCCTGAAAACTTGGGTAAATTTATGAAACCGAATAAGTATTTTCTTGTGTCATATCCAAAGTTGATGCTTATTAAAACTAGAGTACAAGTCCCTAAATTGATCTATTTAATTTATAACTCGACCCCAAATAGATTATAACTCTAATTTACCTGCACATTTAAATACAATTCCTTAGTGATACCCAAGTTTATTTCATATAATCAACACCTCTAAGATAGAAAACAGTGGGTGACTATTGCATAGACAGATAAGACAGACCAAGAGAAGAACATCTTTTAGAGAGAGAGAGAGAGAGAGACGATGTACCTATCATGCAGCCACCCAAGAACAAAGCCTGAACCAATCCAACCTCGTACTTTTGTCCACATTGTAAACTTTTTGTGGCTTGAGAACCTTTATGGCTTTGGCCAGAAGATAAATCTTGGCATTAAATTTTAACAAGTTTGTGGCTTAAAGTAAAGGAACTGGGCTGTACGTGAATGGCTTAATCATGCACAGTTCGGATCAGATTTGCTAAGATTTGATTCTTTATCCATTTTCTCACCGAATAGCATTCAAGCTTCCGAAAATCATTTCAGTGTTATCAGAGCTTGAAGTCTTCAAGTAGAGTTAAGTGATATTTCAGTATTAATTTGATTATTATCAGATTTATAAGAGATATCAAAGTGATCCTCTTTTGTTAGAGCTAATATTTGTTAGGTTTGACATAATTGTTGTGTACTCTTGTTTTACTCCATAGTGAAAATATCTGAGCATTATTGTCGTGGACGTAAGCAATAATCGAACCATGTAAATTGATTTGTCTTGTGTGATTGTTCTTTTATTTTTCTACTTAAGTGTGAGTATCAATATCAATCCAAATTCAATTCCTGGGATATTTTCGACAATAAATTGGTATCAGAGCTGGTATTGATTTTGAGTACTATCTAGGGTTATTATTCATTGGGTACTATTTAGATAGTACTATTTAAGTCATAGTAATCGTATGCACCAGTTTCTTGGACTACACCAAATTAAGTTTTAAAGTGATGACTATAAATTTTTCAAAGATCTCGAATGCTAAGATCGAGGTGGAGAAATTTGATGGAAGTAACAATTTTGGGCTTTGGCAAGTTCAAGTTAAAGATATCCTAATCCAACAGGGACTACATAAAGTATTAGAGGGTAATCCTAAAGATACAGAGGCCCACTCGCAAAGCAATAGAGATATTTGTTACAATTGATGAAATTCTGTATGGTTGCACATCAGAAAGAGGAAGGCCACCTGATGGGGATAATGTCTTGGCAGGGGAGGGTGAACTTGAGACGGATAATGTATATGATTTGAGCTCAGACGATAATGACTATGGGGATGACAGTAATGCACATGAAGTCCAAATCCATCTAATTTTTTATCAGAGGAAATGGCCCCCTTGCACTTGGTGATCCTTTTGATCCTCCACCTTGGAGAAGGCTACCAGGAAGACCAAAGAAAAATAGGAGGGAAGCCGATGAGACAAATACTAGGATTAGTATTGCTAGAAAAAACTTGATTGTTAAATGTGCCATATGCAAAGAGTATGGGCACAATAAGAGGACATGCCAAAGGGCACCTGTGAGGAACAGAGGGAGCACAAGCAATGAGACAGAACTGGTAAAATATTCCTGCTATTTGGACAAACATTTAATAATTTATGTTACATGAGTTGCTTCTCATACTATTAATTTTGATAAGGGAAATGGTACTCTAGAACAGCCAGCACAAACATCGCAGGCAACCCAAGCACCACTTAACAGTGAAGCAAGACAAACAAGTGTTGTAACTACTAGCCCAGTCAGCACAGGCAACACAGTTGCATCAAATGTAAGGAAAGGTAGAGGGAGATGCAAAGGCAGAAATGAAGTGTAACCTGCATAGGATTGAAGCTGTAGAAAGAAACTAACCACAAGACAGAAAGTTTTTGTATATAGGGATTACTGGGATGCTGCTGCTTTTGTTTTTGTTGCACCAGCATCCAAGAATGCACATAAGACAGTTTTGGGAGGTTTTTGTTAACTAGTATTCGGGCAGTATGTTGCTGCTGTTGTTTTTTTTTTTTGTTGCAGCAATGTATTATGTATGTTGTTGATGCTTTTTGTTTTTTGCTACAGCAGCAAGAATGCACATAGGGTTCTTGCATTTTTTTTGTTTTAACAAATGTACTGGAACCTTATTATGGTATGGGAATGAAGAATGGTAGAACAGTTTGTTATAATACTATGGTATGTCAAGTAGAACAGTTGTAGAAATCATGCTAATTCCTCCATTCTATTGGACCAAACATTACAAGATCACACAAAGTTTAGAACACATTGTTCGACCAAAAATTAGCAAACCCAATCCAAAAACCATTCATAGATAAACTAATACATTAACATAACTTTAGCAAGGCATCAACAACCAATCGCTTATTCTTGCTCATTGAAACAATTATAACAAATATAAGACCCGGCTTGTGGCAAAAGGGTATACCCAAATGGAGGGTATAGATTATGAAGAGACATTCTCCCCTGTGGTGAGATTTGCCCCTATTTGTGTGATTCTAGTCATAGTAACTCATTTGGATTTAGAGCTCTATTCAATGGATGTCAAAACTACATTCATCAATGGAGGACTAAATGAAAAGATCTATACAGATCAACCTCTCAGATTTATAGCTGAAGAGCAGACATCCTTAAACGATCCATTTATGGTCTCAAACAGTCATATAGACAATTGTACCTCTAGTTTGATGCAACAATTATGACATTTGGCTTATCTATGATAGAGGAAGACCATTGTGTGTATGTCAAACATACAGGGCAGGGAATTTAGATCTTATCTCTATATGCAGATGACATTTTATTCACTGGAAAACGATATAGAGATGATCATGCCACTAAAGAATGGCTATCCTTTGTTTTTGAGATGAAGGATATAGGTGAGGCGAATTATGTACTCGGAGTTAAGATCCTAAGGGATTGTTCTAAAAGGTTTCTTGGTTTGTCACAAGAAACCTATATCAAGAAAATTTTAGAACAGTTCTAGATGCACTATTCAAAACTCGTTGATACCCCAGTTGAGAAGGGCCGAACTTTAAACCTTGATCATTATCCTAGATCAGATAAGGAGAAGGAAATCATGAAGAGGGTCCTTATGTGAGTGCAATAGGGAGTTTAATGTATGTTATGTTGTGTACTCATCATGATATTTTTTATGCGGTTGGCTTGGTAAGCCGTTACCAAAGCAACCCAAGACCAGTTCAATGGCAGGCTATTAAGAGAATTTTTTGTTACCTTCGTGGTACCACAGATCTCGTCCTATGCTATCATGGTGGGGACTTGAAACTGAGAGGATTTTGCGATGCAGATTTGGGTGGCAATAGAGATGAACACAAATCACCTCGGGTAATGCATTCACCCTTGGAAGAGGAGTCGTTTCTTGGTATAGCAAGAAGCAAGATCACCTTATCTACTATGGAGTCTAAGTACATCACCTGTTCAGCAGCAGTTCAAGTGGCAGTTTGGTTGAGGAGATTCATTTAGCGATTAAGGATTGTGGCCCACGTTGAAGACGCTGTTGAGATTTGATCCGATAGCATGGCTACATTATCATATGGAAAGGATCCTCAATATTATTGCAGGACCAAGCATATTGATATACGATTTCACTACATTCGAGACATGGTAAGACAACGAGAGGTGGTTCTAAAGCATATTTCCCCTATTAGAATGGTAGCTAATCCACTCACTAATATTGCTAAAGGTATCTTCTAAACTCACGTCAGAAGTTTGGGTATATGTAGGATTTGATTTGCTTTGGATAGTATGATGGACATATGGATATTTATATTTCATGCATTTGCCATTTTATCTTCTACCTGTGGTTGCATGAATGATACTATTTTTACGAGGCACATAATTGTAATAATGTCACCAGGTTGAGATCAGGCCACTCACACGGGTGATCACCTTAGTGCTAAGACAGTGAACAGTATGAGACAAAGTGATCATATTGGTGCTTGTATAATGAGCTTATGATGGCCTATATGTATATGAGTTACATAATAGGCATTAATGATTATAATGTTGTCGCCTTGGTTTTGGACCGAGATGAGACTTAAGTAAGTCGATTGTGCAATGCCTCCACAATTCCATATAAAACCTAAATAAAGCTGAATGTGAGCACTCAAGAAGCGTGTGGAAAGTGTCTGGCCGAGAGTAACTCAGGTTAGATGCCTACGTGGCAACTAGACCCAATTTTTTACAATGTTTGAGAGTGACATGTCCCATTTAGTGAGAGCTCCACCGTAGGATATATATCATATTGTACGTGCTATAGTCAACCAAATATGAGAGTGATAAGATTGATACCCTCTCTATCACTGTGTGAGCTCTAAAATTCCCTATACCCTTAGACCCAAAGTTATGTCATGAAGTCGAGGTTCGAAATAACTACTTTAGCATGTCACCACAGATACAATCACATGGAACATGTCTTGGAAAGTGCACGACTCAAAATGGATTGATATGAGATTCTAGGGAAGGTGTTTTTATATCACACGTAATTTGGTAGTTCATTGCCTGGACTATTATTGTACTTAGTTGTATAAAATAATCATGAACACAAATATCAAATGAGTTTAGTCAAGTGTTGCTCTAAGACGAGTCTGAAGAGGGATATATGATACTTGATTTGTGTGATTTAAGGTATCTAGGGTATTGGCGATAACTCGTCAATGACGTGCTATGTTAGTTAGATGGTGGCTTAATATAGCAC